ACAATATGCTAACTGYCTGCTGGGAAGTACAAGACTTTCCAACAGACTGAAGCAATTACAGGCTGGCTTGGCCTCCACCTTCCCCACTTGAGCATTCTCTAGGCACTGCTGAGGACTCACACAGAGATTCTTTACCCGGTTTTCATGTATAAAGGTTATCACAGGGCAGCACCAAATCCCCAAGGGTCTCACAGGTCTTCCTGGAAACGCTGGGCATTTGAGCTCCAGTGGGTGCCATGTCTCAGGCAGGAAGCAAGGCCCATGTGCCTTGCTTCCAAGAAACCTATAAATTCAAGCTGTTATGCAGAAAGATGTTTTCCCCTMCTTTAGGAAAAAAAATACATATATATGTCACACTATAATCTGTAAGAGAAAAGGGTAAAAAAACCCCACAAATCTCATCAATAAGGACAACAAGTACCATCAGTCTGTATCATCTCTTCTCTTTAGTCTTCTCTAGAGCTTCTAGATGAGATGTTGTCATTCCCTGTCTTTGTAAGTTCTTGGAAAAGCAAATTCTACCCTCAGTATGACATTTTTATATGATGTTTGACAAATGACTTAATTTTTTTTTCTCTACTTACTCCTGACTTCCAGATGTGCTGTATTAAACAAGTACATCCACCAAAAAAATCCAGGTTTGTTCCCATATAAATGGCAGGAAAAGAAGAAAAAGCGTATGCAAGAAAGGAAAACTTTTCCAATATTCTTCTTATAAAACTATGTACAAACAGAATGAGGCACTGAGAACTTTAATACATACAGAAGTCAAATCCAATCAACTTGTGAATGCACAAAATACAATAACGTTTTGTTCTCCAAAACATGACTTTGAGAAAAGAGTAGATGTGATTAGTCTGGCCACCAACTGTTACACCCCTGTCTGTATGAAGTACACATCAACTGATTTTAATTCAGGCTTTGTGAACCACTCACAAACTTATTTGAATGTTTAGAACAAATTACTACAAAGTCACAACAGGATCTTTATTACATATAGCAAATAACATACTAATTCCCTTCAAAAGAGGAACTTAAAAAAGCATATTAATCATTTTAGTGACCAAAATTCACTGCACAGTTGTACGATACATCCCTCACACTCCATATGACATTGGCAGAACACATATAAAAAAAGCCACATTTCTAACTCACATAAGATGTTCCAAAATATACGAGAATTCATTTTTTCAAGTCTGCTATATTATAGTAATGAATGATATATTCTCACATGCATAGTGAGGTGTCAAAACAGTCATTGACTTGGGCATCTTCACTTGGACTAATTTTAAGAAATTGACCGAAACTTTGCCATTGATCTAAACAGCACCAACTCAAACCTTAAGTAGTTTCTCTTGACTCACTGGCACTGTATTTATCATAAATTCAACTGAGCTATTTCTTGATTAATATTCTACACTAAGACACAAACTTCTGCCATGCACAACTGAGAGGAGTTCCTGCATTACTTTCTCTCTCATCAGCCCATCAAGAATTCTGACATTTTGAAAACAAAACCTAAAAGCTTTATAAAGTGACAGAATGAGGCTGACAGCTATAAAACAACACACAAACACACAATCCTAAGTAAAATTTAGAGAGGTCAATTCTTTGCTATTTTAGTGGCCTAAATGGTAAGTAAGAGAATAAAGTTATTGATACTGCTGACATCACCTGAAGAACAAAATGAGAAACCAGTGCTGGAAATAAGAGTCAATAATCTGACTTAAGTAATCAAGTCAGATTCAAGGGACTAAAACCTAAAATATAAACAAAAACAACTCTGACACTTCAAAAATATTTATGCTCAARAAAGTGACAACTTAATGAAATGTAAAAAAAAAAAAATTTAAAAAAGCAAACAAAAATCCCCTTAAAACCTCTAAAAGGGCTACAGTACAAACATAACTTACAGAAATGTCTTTGAAATTACTGTATTTCCTCACTGAAACTTGTGGGATTATCACTAATTTCTACTTTCAGAGCTCTTTTCTTTCTTTCTTTCTTCAGTCTCTTTTGTTGTGTAGCATTGTTTTAAAATTGTAACCAAAGAACAGAGTTATCCTTTATCAGAGAGTGCTTTGTACATGCCCATCATCTTAAACAGCTACCAGCCTGTTGCTCATGGTGTTACCACCATGAGCAGCATTTTGTTTTAATAAAGGCTCTTGTTACTGGAAGCAGTTGCACATGTTCTCACTTATTTTACTTCCGGTAGAACTATCAGCTCATTACCATTTGCTGCCTTCTTAAATCATCCCCTTAGGTCTAAAAACATCACACTTTCCATGCAAGATTTCAAGTAACATAAGGAAGTGTAGTAGAAATCTGCAAAAAGGGGAGGGGAAGCTTGACTTTAGTCTGTAATTGTAACAAGGGCGAGAATATGAACTAATGTAACACTTTGAAGAATTGCTTGAAGAAATACTTAGTTTCAATAGATGTAGAAAACAAGGCATGATTAGAGGGTGGGATGGGGGGGGGATTAAATGTACAACAGTTTCTCCTCCCTGACGCTGTTGTAACTAATTTATATTGCTTTCAATCCTAATACATATCAAAAAAAGTAGAAATTCATATTGAGGCAAAGTAAATGAAAATAACAAAAAAACATGCACACCTCATACTACTTGTGCCAGTGCTTATAATGAAGCACAGTCCCCAATACTTGTAGAGATTAATGAAAATACTTTTTTTTTTTTTTTTTTTGGCCCTCCCCTCTCTCTCAGATTTAATCACAGCTTGCTAGAAGCATTATGTGGTGCTCAGTTCAGGCATCTACTTTAAGTATATGCTTAAAAACAATTGAAATTGCTGAGATTAATATCAGTACACAGATGTAAGACTCAGATTTGCTGAGCATTTCCCAAATAGTTAGTAATTCTGCCTACACAATGATACCAAGGAATACAGGACAAACTCCTACCAAATGCAAGGAGATCAAGAAAACACTCTAAGGCTACTGGTGAGGCCAAGTCTAATCTCCCAARGGACTTGCTCAGAAATCAAATCTGCATGTTCATAAAACAAATGAGCTTGTGGGAACCTGTTCCTAGGAGCTGCAGAATTAAGTTGTCAGGTGACTCTTGACCACTTACATTATGAACCAGCTGAATACTGACCTACTGTGATTTTCATCCTAATAATAATACTTGCATTTTTTCTAAAGCTATGAGCCATAGTATAATATATTTTCTCATTTAGAATAACAGAGTGACTTAAAAAAAATGAAACTGCATAAAAAGCATTTTCAATGCTCACTTCATCTATTTTCCCAAGTCAAACAGGATTTTCTTTCTGGTGATCTTAAAATGACAGAAAAAAAAATCAAAAAGTACCTACCACTGCACTGTGATGCAATGGGAGCACCACAAGGCAGGAGGGGCTCACAGGCACAGCTGTTAGCACAGTCTTGTGCTGGCACTTGCTAGAAGACCAGCAGAGAAGGAAGTGTCAGCATCTGCCTCCAAGTGTCCTGTCTGCGTGTAAGATATGAGACACCCCACGTTCTTGAGCTTCTGTAAGCCCGAAACCATGCAGACAAGCCCCGCTAATGCCCAAGCAGCTTAACAGTTGCTGTATTATAACGGGACAGGGAGGGGGAAAACATTTTTTTCCCCTTCAACTGAATCCATGTTTTATTTCTCAGCTGCAGTGCTGTCGCTGTCTAAACAACACAGTTCAATGATGTTTAAGTATGGAATAATATTTTCTATCAATAATTTTTATATTTACAGATAAGTATATGAATATTTAGCAACATACAGGTATTTATAAGTCTAGTCATTATTTTATATTACTTTATCCTAAATATTCAGCACTCCAGCCCATGCAGTCTAAAATGCATACAGATGAGACACCCTTTCTCACTGCAATATGTTAAAGCCTGAACCCAGAAGGCAGAAATACCCTGGACTAGTTTTCCATGGGAGACAAAGTTATTTTKGCTTTACATTTTGTACACTTGACTGGGTAATAACATAGAATTTCTTACTTCCCTCAAAGACAGAAAATTGTACAAGGACAAATCTTGACCAAAGAGAAATCTTACACAACAGTATCATTTCRGCTTTTCCTGGATTTTATACCTTCCCCTTTCTTCCAGGCAAATTTCTAAAATAGAGATTCCCTTTCTAAAGCTGCCACCACTAAAACTCTTAAAAGAGGTACAAAATGCGCTATGCACATACTTCATTTCTGTAGGAAAGTACAAAAGAACAAAAATACTGCTTGTAAGGATTATCCAGGAAAACATAAAAACATTACAGAAAGATTTTAATATCACAAAACAGCTGTAGGTAGTAAGAGAGCTGTAGGTAGTAAGTGGTAGACACAACCACTGAAAAGTAGTTGATATAGGARAAATAAGTTCTATATTTTTTTAGATTATTTTTCCTGCAATTTTAAAATGCTAGCTAGGGTATTCCTTATTATTTTAAACAAACTAGATTCTTTAAGCACAGCAAGGAGTTTTTTTGGTTTTTTTACTTCACACAAGGTTTTCTAGTAGGATTAACGCCCCCACTTGCTAACCAAAACAAAAGCAGAGAGCAACACTACGCTTTTCAGAAATATTTCACCCAGTGAACAAAAGGTGTCTAACCGTAAGCTTTAACTATAACACTGGATAATATCAATGAAGAGTAGGAAGAGGTAAAAATGTTACTTTAACGAGTTCATTCATAATTTGTAAAACATGCAGAGCTGAGGCCTCCACTCTAGCCAGAGAACAGAGCTCCCTGGTGCAGGACACGGCTCCCAGCAGGGAGCACAGGAGCCCYGGGAGGCAGCGCCTGGCCCGGGGAGACACCCGCCTGCAGCGCTAGTGTCCCAGTGTCCCTGCCCCTGCAGAGTGGAGCAGTGCCCCTGCACTGGAGGAGCAGAGCCAGGCACTACATTCAGTGCAGTATCACAGTGCCCCTGTGGCTCTCAAAGCATTGCCTTGGTCACAGGAGTCAGACTTAAAAAGAATTTGAAAACCAGCCACTCTTAAAAATGCATTTTTTAAATAAGAAATATTTATTGATCATTTTACTCAGAAGCACACTTCAAACGCTGCTGTTTGAATCTCATTAGCTGGTCACAATGTGTAATTCAGCCTAGTGCACCTGCTGAACTAAAACAGCCACATGAAACATATGCCACTGTCAGATCCTATCAGTTCCACTTGCTTAACAAAAGGGAGAGAACACATACCAGGAAGACACAGAGGAAAAGTAGACTTACAACACCTTATAACTACAACATCCTGCACAGAGTGCCTGCTTTCACTGCTATGTTTCCTGTGTTTCACAATAGACAGAAGATGCATTAACGCTGCCAAATCTTGATGTAGCATTATGAATCAGTGCTTGCACAGTTTTGCACCAAAGACCTCTTTCTCAGACAAATGTCCATTCTTTTTCCTTCCCTGGCCGCCCTGACTCCAAAACCTTAGAAGGGCACAGTCTCTTTACCAGGGGCTTTCAAAAAGGGATACTGCTAATCCTGTCTGTAAGCAGGAAACATATAGCTGGGTAGGGGCTCTCCATTTTAAGTTCACACTAAAAATTGTAAATTAAACAGCAACTCGCTCCTATCTGCATACAGCCCTTCCCTAACCTGAAAAGGCAAAAATTTCAAATCAGTTAAAGGAAGAAAGTAAAAAAACATCTTCACAATTTGTATCTGAAGTTTTAGTTTACATATAGATTTTAAAATGTTCAGCTTAAGGCTCTTGTACAAGGATTTCATTTACCATTTATGCTTCAGAAGTAGAATTAGAGTCTGAAAAGCTGCTATAGAACAAGAACTCTGTTCCCCTCTTCAACTGATAGCTGCTTAAGAGATAAAATATGTATTTTTTACTTCTGGGCTGCTCAGCTGTGAAAAGAAAAGATATGTTTATAGTCATATGAAAACTTTCCCATTCATCTCAAGTCTTCATGAGATTTCTCACAGGAACTATTTAATGAATTTTTAGCCTTTACTGCTCAAGAAATATGTCAAACTGAAATTTATGAAAGCAAAGGCTTCAGTTTTAAAGGGTGCATGGAAGAAAGGATGGTTGAGGAAGGATGAATTGYAATAGCTTTAAAAATTTCTGGTTTATATCTGTCTCTAAATCAAAGAGGTTGAAGAGTATTGCACCTTTTTTTTATTCTAGTAAGCAGAAAAAATAAGGTTTTCTTACAAGTGAAAGGCAAGCCCTGAAAAGTCATACACATGTACATGCGTAAAAGACAAGCAAAGCCTTTCAGCAAAGAGCCCAGCCTGCTTCATGCTAGCACCAGGGGATCAGCTTTAGAAGAAGTTGGGAGTTGGCCGGTGTCTAGCAACCAGTYGCAGCACCGCGTGAAATGGTGACAAGAGACTTACACAGGCTGCAGTTGTGATCCTCTTCATGCTTCTGTCCCTAAGTCCCACACACAAGAAACCTGAGAAACAGAAGAGTTCAACACACTGTCTTATACATTGCTCTGATATCATTCTCCAACTCTTTTTATCGTTTAAAGAACCTTCCTGTGCTGTGAGACTACTCATAAAGTAAAATGACAACTAGTCTGTGCCAGAGCTTGAAAGGTTACTCCATTAAGTGAATTGTAGCTCAGAGGTTGAATAGCAAAGAATGAGATGGCAATATTAGTTTCTTTACTATGAAAAGATTTWTCAGTCTYATTTACCATAGTCTCTAGCCTATCSAAATTTAAATAAAGGAAAACAAATCAAGAGATGGATTATTTAATGATCTATTTAAACCAGAAATCATAATGACAGATATTTAAAACAAATGTTCAATCTGATGAAAGAAGACATTGTTATCTTGAAAAGCTGCTGTATTCTATTTGATTAGTCCACTTAATAGGAAAGTAAATTGAACAACATACTGTATCAAATCCATTCACTTTAGCATTTTTACATGAAAACCAATCTCATGTTGCACGTTGTTGATAATTGCCTTGAAACACTGGAACAGCTATGCAGCAGTTTTAGTTAAGTGAATAGCAGCTTGTTTTGCAACATCAAGGATTACAGAAGATAGAGCTTACATATCAAAGTAAACTTTATACTGCTATTTTAACATAGCTATGAAAGTCTAGTCCGGAAATGTTCTCACAAAAGCAAACTATTAGTCTTCTATACAAAATACCAGAAAATCTTGAATTTTATCAAGCATGTAGGTAATGTGTTTAAATGCCAACCTTGTGGAACATATAAACAAGGGAGGTTTCTGCATTACATTCTCCCTGCTCAGAGATAGCAAATTCACTAAACACAGATGCCATTTCTTGATTATCACTGCAGCATTTCCCAACAAACACCCTAATGCAGTGAGCAGAATCAGCTTTTCCTCTTTGAATGAAGGGGTTTTTGTCTGTATGGCTATGTCTGCAGGGAGAATTCTGCCAACATCACTAATATTTCAGAGGGAAAGGAAATTACTTTCTAAATGGCCTTACCATGAAGTTACAGAGTACGCAGAGCTAAGTGCAAACCTGGCTGGGGAGTCAATGAAGGTCAAGGCTGCTAGAGGCCAGCTTCCCACGAGAGCAAAGCTCTGAAGTGTAATTATTTTAGGGAAGAACTCTGCCAATAGGTCAAAGGACTGAGTTTTATAGCTGACAACAGCCACTGAAAGAAATCTTTCAGAAAATAGTAGTTGCAGTAGCAATATATCTCATCCTCAAAAACTATTGAAATACATAGCAAAAATTAGCAAAAATGTATTATCTTTTGAAATAACACAAGAATGTTTGAAGAACTATTATTGCTAGTTAGTACTGAAAAAGGTCAGCTTCATTCTACTGTCAGAATGGGCTCCTCTGTATGTAGATACAGATTCTTCTACCCATCCAAACTGGTATTGTAGGTAGTTGGGCAAGGTATTCAAAATATAGAACCATCTGGAATATATAATTATATAATATATACAATATATATATTTATTATATATATTTATATATATTTTTGTATATATTATATAATTATATATATTGATATACATTATAATTATATAATATATACAAAAATCCAAAATTCAGGCCAATTACAACTTATTAGCAAGATTTAAAATTAGCAAGAACTAATTTTGAAGTGCTTCAACCCCAGCACAGATTTTTGGAATACACAGGTCCACACAGACATCCACAGTGTCACTCCATACCTCTCCACAGTGAGAATGGCGAGGTGGTGGTAAACCGAGGCAGAGGGGAAAAAAGTCACTTGTTTTACTTGCCTCATCACAGGATATGTATCACAGTATATGTAAGGATAACTTAATTCTGAACAAGTAGAGCTCCCAGCCTAGCAGCTTTATAGCCTGTGTTCTCCTTCAYAAACTCTTAGTTGTGTATTCAGATCACGAGTCTAACTGCATTGATTACTTGCCTATCTAACGGGTTGCAAATATATTCAAGTACATGAACTGATTCTTTGCCTAATTACTGAAGGCTTGATTAAGAATACTAGCTTAAAGAGTATTTTGTTAAACAAAAAATGGGAAGCGGAATTAACATTATATATAAATTTCTTCAGCACACAGCTCTAGAAGCCTTAAAATGAGATAGCAGCNAAAAAAAAAAAAAAAAAAAAAAAAAAAAAAAAAAAAAAAAAAAAAGACCATCAGCAGCTTCATAATTTGGTTTAAAAATAATAATGCCAAAGTTCTCTGTGAGGAAATAATAGAAAAGAGGAAAAGTATATATTACAGACACATTTCTGGTTAGCTGCACCAACATAGGAATACATGCAGAAAGCCAGTAAAACCTGATTCCCCAGCTGAGGAAATAGATTATTCACATCTAGTACACTTGCCTGATTTGATGGAACTCCTGGCAGAGCAGGGCRTACTAGCTCAGCAGTAACCTTTAGAAAGGCAGGAGGTTTTTTTTGAAGTTAAGGCTTATTTAAAACATCATGTATTTTTAAGGGAAAGTTATGTATATATTAATTTTTTTTCTCCATAATTTGCACTTTAAATAGAAGGCATGATTTCTGGCATGAACAAGAGCAAAATAGAAAAAGCAAGAGCTGAAATATTTTCTAAGTGATGTTTGGCAGCTTTCTAAATTCTGAAGGAAGATCTCTAAACAATTATAATTTTGCCTTTGGACAGAATAWAAACAACCTTTATTTTTGGGACAAATACAACAAAATTGGCTAAAACATCCAGCTTGTCCTAAATGACAATGGTTGAGTCCAATGGAAACAACTTTATTGAATTTAAATTTAATAAGTCTCAAGCAGGATATGGCATTTCTCCTCTTTATTTTTATCTAGGATTGATAAGGATAGACTTGTTTAAAAAAAGTAGAAAATCTCATGCACATCTTCTGGTCTCATCTTTAAACTACACAGGTTCCACCCAATTTCTCAAGCTATCCTCATCATCTTACTGCTTTCTGAAAACACAGCAAAGGACATAACTAATATCCCTCAGATAMAGCTCATTTCTCCATTAATCCTCGCCCCAGGGAGAAGTACCCTAAGCAAACTTGCTGACACTTCATCTGTTTGCAACAACATGCAACAGCACTGTTCACTTGCCTGGCCTTAGACATCCGTAGCCTATGGCTCTGCTGATAATGACAAGAAAGGAGGAAGATACGAGCCAGACTAACTACTCAAATCAAAAGAAATGTAGCCTGAATGTACAGGAAACTGATATCTTCTATGAACAGAAAGCAACACCTCACATCAGTAAAGGCTTGAGTGGTGGAAAACATGTATGTGGGAACAGAGAGACTAAAATGGGACTAAAATAAGAGGATAAATACACTAACGTGAAAAGTGACATGGAAGGTGACTACATATCAAGGGAAGACATGCACWGTAACCTCCTGTCAGGTCTTAAGAGCAAGCAGGACAGAAAGTGGTCAAAATGAGAGCTTACTACATCCTTGAGACTTCTGCTTTTTCAAACGAAGCCAGACCTCATGCTACTGTAAAGAGGATGTTCTGATAAGTATTTTTGCACACAGAAATGGAACATTTGATCTATATTATTATCCCCTTTCCTCCTTTGATGCTAGTACCATCATGAAATGAGAAACTCTTCAGTGGGTTTATTTCAGAAAAATAGATAATTCATTCTTTTTTCTTCCTTTCAATGATGTTCTGATCCACCATATCTGTTGTTTTGAGAAAACATGTACAAAGCATATTTTGTAATTGTAAAATACAGATATGAACAAAATTAACCAAAGGCTGACACAATGCAGAAGCCTGCTTACAAAGCACATTAAATCAAAACAATAGCACCAAGGCCAAAATCTCTGTCCACGTTCCTTGGGTTAAAGCCACAGACCTCAAAATCTTACATATTTGTTCATTCCAGACTCCCCATTCCATCCCTTTAGTCTAAAGCATGTTTAGGAAGAAAGTAGTAGAGCTAACATAGATGTCATATTTACTATCTATAGTTTTTCACATTTATTTTGCTAATAACTTTATTGTGAGGAATAAACAAATGATTTTTCTGATTAAGTGCCTTTCCTTAATATACAAAATAAACCATTTTCACAGATAGCCTCTCTGTACTTATTTTTACATTTGGAGATTTTGAATAAGGAGGACGAGTTGCAACATCTGGTCTTTCTTGTCCGATATACTTACTGCAGTACACAGGGCATGGATGAAGGCACAGCTTAGAATGTAAAGTTAGATAAGAACTGAGGGACATGCTGAAGTAGTTGGTCACTCAAATACACCAAGCAAAATGAGGCATTGACACCACCTAGTCTCATTTACTTAATGCAGCCACTGTACATAACATGGTAGCTCTAGTTCTCTCTATAGTGAACATTGTAAGGCTAGTAGACTAGTTGTTAGACTAGTAGAAAAAAGTGGGAAAGAGGAGCATAGAAAGGAAATAGAGGCGATGCATCTAAATTGCAGTAACCCAAACTACCGAATCAGAGGAGTCTTCRCAGTCTTAAGCACACAGAACTCTGAGAACACAGCGCAGCACTGTCAAAACTAGATCAGATATTTGCCAGAGCATGACACCTTAAGAACTTCCACCGTCAAAGATGTCTGATACAAATTTCTTCTCCAATAATCATACCTTACCTGCAATATGGAGGAGGTACAACTAGGAAATGTGTCCTCTGACAGTTCTTAGTCTGTGCACGCTGCCACTTTACTCTCTTGCTTCACTCTGTCTCAACTCTCATTTCTTAGAAAAGAAACTTTGAAAACAAACCTTTCTTTCAGCTGCCACTCAAACTTAAGRTTTTCTTCTGGAAGTAGATACAATTTAGATCTAAAATAGAAAAGAATATGCCAATTTTAGTTATATCTGAAATTCAGCTTGACACAGTATTAGAAACACTGTTACAAAGCTCATTTGTTGATCACCAAAAATGTTTGAATAAATAAATCAAAGATAGTAAAATTAGAGGAAAAAAGGTGGGGACATTATTTTGTTGATTTTGATATTTTTCACTGGTTGGTAAAGCAAGGGTTTCAGAAAAGAAAAGCTCATGTAAAAGCAGAAGTTCACTTCATGGAGCTAGAGCACTGAAAACCAAACTCAGTAYTTCAAACTTGCCAATAATAAAAACAAGTATTTTTAATAGTGTCCTTTAAGAATTTAGATAACAAARATAGAAGTCATAACACCAAGAAAGGACCAACAATTACCATTCTTGCTGGTTACTTGTTCACTTAAGTTGCTAGATCACTACAAATCCTCAATAAAATGCTTTCATCGTTTAATTTCATCGTTTAATTATACCATACCTTAAAACACATTGTAGTTTGAACATGGACATTGAATGAAACGTAGAAGAGCCTTACATAACACTTGAGTGTTCTGCCTGCTTTAGAGCGCTTGTTCTGTAACTACTTTCAGGAAAGTCAAGATGTAACTGTACAAGAATAGCATACCCTTTTTGCAGACATTTCCAYAGCTACCCATCAGAACATTCCTTTAAATGGAGCTTTTTGTTATTGCTGAGCTCTGGATTTCTTGCACAATTGCCTATTGCAGCAGTGGATTATAGTTAAAGATACTGGACAGTAAGATTAAGATTCTGTATCATTATCCCTCGATACTGTTAGACCTGCCATTCAAATATATGCAATATACTTCTCTATCTGCATTGCCCTCTCCCACTTTGCCCGATTTTTCCAAGGTCCTGCCTCTTTGGTTGCAGCAGGAATATACAGGGATAGTTTAAAGTCACCTGTGCAAACAAACCCTCCTCAGCATAAAAGCCTGGGAATATAGTTATCTCACCAGCTCTGCAGAAGTCACCTTCCACTCATTTACAATTATTAGTTTCAGGTAAAACCTTGCAAGTTGAGGTAAGTCTGGCTTTACTCAGAGCCACCTGAATCCACATGATCCAAGATACAATGCTATTAGCTGGAACACACGGGTCCTTCACTGACTGTAGGTTGCTAATGAAGGCTTGTTGATGAAGTGATACACTGTCCAAGTCATCTTGAAAGAATTAATCAATTGAATTCAATTCTTGAAAGAATTATTAATCAATTAAATTACCAGTCAATTAATAATTATATCAATTAATATCAATATTATTGATTAATAATTATTAATCAAATTATTAATCAATTAAATAATTACCAATTCTTGAAAGATTAATCAATTAAATACATAATAAATAACTTTGCAGTAAAAAATTAGTTAGTCTTTAGCTTTAGAAAAAAGATGCAAAGAACCCCAGGACTAGAGACTGGTGTAAAAAATTATGGGCTTTAAATTCATGATTTCCCACAATCACTAAGCTTTTTAAATATACTGCCCAGCAAGGGTAAATTTTGTTATGCAGTTCCCACATTGTAGTCTCATTCAAATGGTCCTCCACAAAGAAAATATTGGGAATTTCTTCTTTAAATTAACTCTTCAACAAAATAATTATTTTAATACTTTATATACCTTTATGCAATTTAGCACACCACATAATTCTATTGTGAAGAATATATAGCTCAGAAAARTGTTTATAGCACTTTTAAACACAGTACTTGGAATATTATAAAAATATCATTAAATAGCTTTTAGTCAGATTACAAAACCCACTAGAGGAATGCCTTCTGCCCATATCTCATTGGCACAGATAAAAGAACTGTTCACTTTCTCTTTCCTGAAACAGCATCAGGTAAAAATCACTTTGTTCTTAAACAAATCCCTCTTAAAGACTGAGGTCAATTTAAACCATTCAAAAACAATGAATGACTAAGAACTGTCTCAGTTGGGACTTCATTGTCTATTGAAAAGATGTCAAAAAATGTACTACTAATTTTAATTAGATAGCCTGCACTTATGTAAAGTAAATTCAAGCTGTTTCTGAACCACCACAATTCATGAAATTAACTTCCTCACATGGGAGGAACTTCTTAATCACCCACAAYATAATCTTTTGATAATGAAATTAAAAAAAAAAAAAAGCACAAATTAATCATTCATTTCAATTGTTTCTTCCCATACTTTGTGGGAGTCCTTARCATCAAGATTTTGTTCCTAACAGTAGAATATAAGACTGCTCAGAGGACTTCACAGAGTGGTCTGTTTAGTACTGCATTCGGATTAATGCTACAGCTGCTGCTCCTGCATTTTCAGTCATCTGAATGTTTACAAGAACCAAATTGAATTGGCAGGGACCAGGCTATGGAGTCAGAGTTTGTCACCTCTAAGAATAAACAGCATACTGCTAATGAACATTAAAGTGCTAAGCTTATATTCAGGCCACTGTTCTTCTTATAATTACTGAAAACAACTGAAACTGAAATGATGAAAGTCCAAGGAGCCAAACACATTTCACAGGACAAGCAATGGAGACAGTCTTTTATCATCTTCCTGGACTACCTCTCCAAGTCTAGAGGTAGTATTTCAATAAAAAGGAAATTAATCCAGAAAAAAAAAAAAAATACTCACAGCGTAGAACTCACTTGAGAGGTTTTGAACCCATTTAAGGGAGGGCAGCCAGGCATGCCAGAGGAATCTGCATTTTACCGAGAACTTACTGAGTGCTTGCATCACAGAGGCTCTTATCATCCTAGCTAGATCATACTTCAAAAAAAACCTTCACTTTGCAAAAAGAAAAATATAGCTTATTACACACCTTTTACACTTAATTTTTGAGTTAAGCATTAAGCTTAAAACTTTACTCAGTGATTCTCAGTGAGAAAGCACCCCCRGCAGTATGTCCCAAAACCCCAACAAAGCAATAGAACTCTCCATTTTTGCACGCATACCTTCTACCATCTCCCAAGCACAGTCTAGCTGCACCARCTACTCACCAGAGACAGCTACCAAGTCCTACTAGAGCACTCTGAAATCTCCCTCCTCCTCTCAAAATTTCTGGCTCTATAAAGAAAGATCTTTTTATTGCAAATCAAGGAGCAACCAAAGAGACTCCCTTCCTTTACAGCAACACTGTGGAGAAATGGACAGGCCTACCTGGCAGGCGTGGCTTTGCTCCTCCTTCCCCAGCTGTGCTTCCCAGCAAGCTGACTTGCACCTGTCTTTCCCACTTATCTCTGTCGCTCCCCACCTGCTGCAGTGCAAATATGGCTCATTTTCACTGCAAGACTAATGAATCTTTCTAAGGATTTGAATACAAGGAGGCCTAAATAAGRATTCTTTCCTAGGTAAGAAACAGATTGGTTAAAAGAGCTGCACTGCTAGCCTTTGCTTTCCTACTAAACGTAGTTCTCTTGCTTTTTAGCCCACCTGCAGTGCAGCAAAGAGGAGTTCCCAAGTTTCAGCTGGGACACTTTGACTGTAGGCTAAAAGCTGCCTACAACCCTTTCTTTGCCCTTATTGGCAAATAAAAACATGTGTGGMAATTCAAGCCCTGCACCAAACCCCAACCAGCACCTTTTAGGGCTCACTCTGTGTGTGCTTAACAAAGGCAGAGAGCAACATGACAGATTTTCTGGGGAAAATGGGTTCCTGAAAACAATTCTTTACTCCTGAAGCTACACTGCTTTTGCCACAGCAGTTGCTTTCCCATGTTAATTGATTATACTTTGCTGTAATATTGGCTCCAAATTACAGYAAATTGTTGTGCCAAATAACAGCTCAGTTATTTAAAGCATATTCTTAAAGCATATTCTAATATTGGGCCACAAAGGTACCTAATAAACTAACTCCTAGGCAGTTATTACTGCTAATTTCCYTGTGTAATCACCTATGCACAATGTGCAAACATGTAAATTCTAATTTGGTAGCACATTATACTYTGCATTCACTTCACCTGGGGATAAGTGGTGACAGCTGTTATGGACTGATCTCTCCGTTAACCAGATACTGAGCCTGAATCCTCCCACCTGTTACCAATATGAAATACACTGGTTTACCAAACTTACTCCAAATATATATGCAGTTGTCCTCAGCTGTAATTAAAGATACTTGTTTTCACTACATTTTCAAATATAACAAAGTACTTAAGTATTAATCAGATAAAACACTGAGTTCAAGAAAACATGAAAGTTCATGTTGTATCATTTATTGTCACCTAAATGAAGAAGTGTGCCTGGTGTTGGCTCCAGCCTTGAAGCAAGGTTATGGAGCAATAGTGTTAATAATTTCYCTAACCATCCAAAATGAAATTCTGTTCAAGTTAAAATGCAGTGCAGGCATCTTACCCTAAACTGAAGGTGGTGTGTATCCTCACGTAGTAATCTGTCAATAAAGACAGCAGTAGTCAAGCCCAGACCAGATAGCAACATGCCATGAAAAAGCAGGAGAATTCTTCATGTTAGGCAGACAAACCAGGGCATATACTGATTGCAAACRCAGGATTCATCCAGTTCACCAACAGTGTTGTAATCTGGTGATAGRCTGGCAAATTACATGGACATTAGGGTGAGACTAACAGGCTTAAAACATAAGATCTACAATGTAGTTTTCCTACAACTTTAGCTGGAACATTGGTGCCATTCATATTCATTTCTTTTACCCAATATTCCTTTAAGATTTACCTCAACCTATTTAAAGAAAAGACATTTTAAAATACTACAGTAATATTTTTTATTTTAACTGAGACTTAAATGTAGATGTTAAATTGGATGTGAAATCTTTACCACCTAAAATTGGTAAGGATTACTTCCTCTCAAATGCTACCAAATCATGACTTAATACTTTTTAAATGCTCARCCATGACAATGAATGCACTATAGATACTGTGAGCATCACAAACCTGTTAATTAAAATGCATTAAAGAAAAAAAAAAAACTATGACAGAAAAAAAGTCAAATGACATATAAAAGCATCATGTACTTTTTGAATCATTTTTAAAGGATGAACTTTTCAATGATCTTCAAAGGGCTTCAAAATGATCTTCAAGGGCTTCAAATTTAATAAACACTCAACCTCTCACATAAAAGCCAACTTCAAGAATTTGTTATTGTTGTTGTTTTTTCCCCTGTCAAGGAAGGGAGGCCTAGAACGGCATGTTTGCACTACCACTCAGGACCAGAAGATTAAAATATCATGACAAGGACATAGCACTGATATGGCCACACATACCAACTGAACAAGATAACAGTCATTCCAAGTTAGAAGCTCCCCATGGCAAAAGAAGAAGAACAAAAGGCACAGTCCTATTTATCACTTTTCCCCTGATTTTCTTTACTGCATACTAATCCTTCCATTCACAAGAGGTAGTTGGGTGCCACCCACCTAACATATAAGGTCTGTCAGACTTCAGAGAGGTTCAGCAATTTTAGCAGCAGGCATGGAGAGGTTGTCAAAGTAGGAGTGAATTCAATGCAAGTATTACAGAAGGCAGGATAGTCACTCCTCCTGTACAAAAGAATGCAGTTAGGACACAGGCTACAGCAACAAAAAACCATAAACCTTCCACAAACTTCATGTCACAAAAATACCATGTCCTCAAGAAAGAACTTTACATTCTTTAGGTCTTGGCAGACCTAACAGCATGTGGCTTGTACGCAACAAAATTTGAGCAAGCCTGAATGGAGGCACTAATGTAAAACAGATTCTCTTCATATCCCTCCAGTTTCTGTACCAAGGCCAGTGATTAGGCCAACAGAAGCCTCATCCTTGTCAGGCAGATTTGACATGGAGCCCACCTTGCTCATGTTCCCACAAGGAGCATCAGAAATCTATGGATRTAGAGCATTGTAGGGAGAAGTATCACTTCATTATTATTATAATCATAGCAGCAATAGTCATAGGTGATTCACAGTTCAACAATTCTTTCTGTAGTAAGACAAAAGGTGAGGCTGTCCTATATGAAACAGACTCAAAAGTGGTGATGATTAAATAGCACTTTTCAGCTATGGTCATCAGGAGGGAACTGAACAATCAGATCCTTTAAAAATAAATAAATAGCTATAGAAAATCTATGTAGGATAAAAGACACCTGGATTTCTGAACATTGTCTGGCCTTTTATTTGAATTTGGCAAGTCCTCCTACCCTCCACCAACAAAGCAACTGATTAATTCATTAAGTATGTACATACCAATTAATTGGAGGATTTACAGGAAATGGCAATGGCAAAGATTCTGCAAACCAGCATTGCTCCTGAGAGTGACTACTTCATCCAGCTCTCATAATTGAATAGTGCTGTGGCAGAAATCAGAATGATAATAATGAACAGTTTACATAAGCATGTGTCACTGAACCAGCTAGCACCCATTTGCCAAATGTTCTCCCAAAAGGCTGACTACTAATTCCAACTTTTGGCAATAACTGCTTTGCATTTACTCTGATTTTAAGAAAATGCCAGCAGGATAACAAGGTTTTAGTGGCCCAGATCTGAGAAGATTTTACAGCTCAGAATGCTTAATGTCAAGTTGTTATGCCCACTGGCAAGTGGTACTGGCAATGAGGACAGAGAAAATAACAAACAGCAAAGTCTAAAAGCTCAGTCTCAGCTCACTAGAACTCCTTGAGAGGTTTTCCTTCAGTTTCACTCAGAGAAACTATTTCTCCTCTTGTGACAGAGTAACATCTAGCTACTTCTGTCTGTATTTTGAAACTTTGTGTTGCCATTTGATACAAACTATTAGCTCTGCTGCCAGCTTTCCTCCATGATTCACCTGTCCACTGACGGGACTGGAAAGAAAAGTGCCGAAAACTTGTTGGTGTTTAAGATATTCAGATGAGATACAGAAGAATCAGATTTGAGATGCAGGTCCTGCAGATATTGCATTATGTGCAAGGAAAGCTCTAAGAGGAGGGACTTCAACGGCCAATGTAAGGATCTCTGATCCTTCATTGTGTTCAGCTTGCTTAGTCCAGCAAATTTAGCTATTATGTGCATAATTTTCTCTACCAGATTTCATTCTAGGAACTTACACTTAATTATTACTGATGCAACTATATTAGTAAACAGGAAATTCATCATAATGGACAAATCCTTACATTTATCCTTAGATTTATCCTGAACTCATATTTTCCAACAAATCTTCTTAAGGTTTCTCAAGGCCACATGCTGCTGGACTCAGATTATTTATCTCTCTAAAGATGCTGGGGAGTGCACAGCACAGCTTKCTTTTTCATTCCTTAARCCTCTTATGCACAGGCAAAAGACAAAAGCACCAAACTAGTACAACACAGACAACCATCAGAGTGGCAGACACCATCACYCTTAGAGGGTCACTAGTGCTTAAGTACCACCTCTCCTTATCACCCTTAGCAGCGGCAGCAAAAATCCATGGAAGACCTATAYGCAACTCAGTAGTTTACTGTATTTTTGCCTTGCTTGCTATAATTACGAGCATTGATAACCTAGCCTCAGTGCACTTTTGCCTCTAACAAGAGTCTAAAAGAAATCAAGGATCTAACACAAGGGGGRAAACATAGCTAGTCTAGAAAATAGTAGCATGTTATTGAACTTTGAACCCATAGAACTATGAAAATTCCCCCATTAATTACACTACTATAGATTCATGAGCAATTTGCACCAGATGAACACCAAATCTAATAGTAAGATATTAGACCTYGGTGCAGGAATATCTTTATTTAAAGAAAATGTCTTAAAATCAATGTATCATTTCCTCATTATATATTCATTATTATTTTGATCCTTTAGCATGCCCTCTGTGGGCTCACGAGATAACATTAWTCAGTAGATGGAGGAGTAAAAAAATACACACACAAAAAAAATGCTACTAAAATATATCTAAAAACAAACATTTACAGTTAYAGCATTCTAAACTAGATTATCAGGAAAACAATCTTGCAACATAATCAAAATGTACACTTCCATTTTTCACTAGAAAAAAACTTTTATCATGCCTGTCTGGCATTGCATATAACTAATACATGGCTTTTCTGTGTCACTGAACCAATACCAATTAATATCAATAAAACCTTAAAACTGATTTTATATCACATTCTATAGATAWGTCTGATATTTTTATTATATGTTCTTTTATTTTAATGAAGCAGAGTTAGATTTACTCAGGTGTAATTCAAAACAGAGTGTGGACTAKTGGGTCATAGAGCTCTTTTTATATACCTTTGTGGATTTCTGTTCATCTAACTGCAAGTACAAAGGGTTTTAGCAGTGTTATATTTTAGCAGAAAAAAATAATATAGTATTCTAAAATGTTTAGGCTGTCAGTTCCCCACCTTTAGCTGTTTCTTACACCTCTATTCTCCCTGATAAAACTGAGGAGCAGTCATCAGAGACGCTGACAGTACTAACAGTCTCTTTCCTCATGAACAGCATAAGCTGACATCCCTGCTTAGCACACAGAGAGGGCAAATCCAAGAGAAATACACTTTTCCTCTTGATATGCTGTGTAGAATCCTTAATGTGAATCAATCTGGGAGGCATCTATTTCCCTGAAATAGTTTTTTTTTTTTATTTTTTTTTAATATTTTTTTTTATACCTGCGGGTTTTGCAGCTGCCTTTTCAAAGGTCCTTTGCTGCCCTCATGTGTTTCACGGGAAAAGTAACTCTCTTTAGTTACTTATTTAGGGTTTTTGTTTGGTTGGGTTTTTTTAAAAGCTTAGTTTAGTAAGTCTCTACTAATAAAAAGCTCTTCTTAGGAAGACAACCACCTCTCCAGTTATGAACAACATACAGGCCATATAGACAAATACTAGAAAATAACTGAAAGTTAATCTGTCTCTTCTAGCAATCAKAAGTTGTCTATTTTAGAATGCAAAGATTGCATAGTAACAAAAAATAATATATTTCCTTTTGAGATAATAATTTCTAAGTGGTGGCTTGCAAGTTGCAAAGCTAGATCAATTTTCTGGAAGTTAATGCTGTTACCCTAACAGGGAAAAAAAAAAAAAAA